TCTGATCTGTTCCAGGAGGCTGCTCGATAGCTTGAGGACAAGTACTTTCAAAAAAAAGTTGGAGCAGGTCAGAACCGCATCAAATGCAGAAAAAGTTGGAGCTTGGTACCAAGGCGCGACATGTTGCAAGCTGAGGCTACAATGGACAGAAGATGACTACGCCGACATCGATTCCTCCGACGACGAAGACACGGCGTACGACCAAACTACTCATGTAGGAAGGCAGGTAGAGGCAGGACCAATCTTGGACAGAGTAGTAAGTCAATTGCCTTATTTTTCTATGTTGAGTTCCATACCAATACAATCTAACTGAGAACTTTGTTGCAGGGCAACACCCTCAAATGCTCGATTGAAGACATTGAGCGCTTTCGTCCGAGAGTCAGGGACGATGACACGCGTAGCTTCCTAGACGTAAGATTCTAAAAATTCTTTCAAGTATAATATTAATACGTTAAATTCTTTTAGTTAACATGATTTTGTACAACAGAGACTGTCGCATTGGCTATGCCATGCGGCTACTCATTGTGGTTGCAGGACAGCCACGACGCAAGATGTGCACGTTCCTTCCGCTGGCAGAGGAGGCTTAGGTTCGTCTAGCCAAGCACCTATAGGGTCCATAGGCATTGTGTATGAGGACGAGGACGATGATGAGGTGGACCACAGGCATGAGGATCTTGGATCGTCTCACCTGATCCTTTCACTCTAGGCACCAACGCTCTTGGTCACAAGGGTAAGGGTAAGACTAGGAGGCAGTGAGGGCTTGTGGTAGAATTTGTGGTAGATGTTATTATGGACTTTGTTGACTTTTATTATGGACTATTGTGGATTGTATGGACTATTATTATGGATTGTATGGACTATTATTATGGATTGTATGAACTACTATGGACTTTATGGATTATTATGAACTCTATGGACTTTTAATATGCTCTTGGATATGGTTTGAGATAAATGTGGTATATATTTGTGTATCTGTACATGTTGTATTGTGGTCATATATTCATGTCATATTTATGTAAGGATTGAATAAAAAAAACAGGGAAAACCCTGCCGAAATTTTTAAGGCTGAAGCACATTTGTGTAGTACACCTATAGCATCTAGCCTTTTCAGTGATTTATCATGTCACCGTTGTATCGTACACAGACTTTTACAGATGAATTGATTGATCGCCGGAATCTAGCCATTTTCAGTTGAGTTTTCAAATAGGTTTTTCAGTTTTCAAATAGGCTTTTCAGTAATCGAATCTAGGCTTTCTCAGTGTCCTTCAAAATAGACTTTTCAGTGATAACTAGTAGGCTTTTCAGGAGCATTTATGCCATAATACAACAGCTACTAAATCTTGGGCTGCCTATATATACGCAGTGCTGCATGTGTTGCTACTCACTTCAAACGAGTATTTTGTTTCATTGGAGTAGGAATGTCTGGAGGGTCGTCTAGAGGAAAGGGTTTAGGCAGTGGCAGAGGAAAGGGGGGACGAAGGGAACTCCCATTGTGTGGGAGGGGTCTCTTGGCCTTGATTTCTTTGAGGAAGCAGTGTATCATTTTCCCCCCAAGAGCAAGAGTGATTTCACCAAAGAGTGTCCCCTCAGAGGATATGATAACGGAAAGAAGATTGGCCAAAATGCATGGATGGTGAGGACTGCTTAGTGTAAATGTTCACCGAGGGGATGGATGGAGGTCGTCGCTTCTTCAAATGCCCGCGAGCATGGATAATTTCTATTACTATTCGTTTGTTAAATATGTTTCTCGATTACACTACAGCTTATAAGACATACTTATTGTAGTCTTCCGAGTCTAAAGAAAATGGTGGGTTCACTAGGTGGGTTGATTCTAGACCAATTTATCTGCATCAACAGTACATCTACTATCTGTAGGACCGTATCTTCGATCTTGAAAGGGAAGTTAGCAGCGTTTACAAGGAAGACGAAGACGATGACAACAACAATGGTGCAGGTTCACAGGAGGCACTCTGCAATGATCCATATTGCACCTGCCCTAATCATAAGAACAAGGGGCCTCTGCCGCCACCCCCGCCACCACCAACAACAACAATGGGAGGCTACTGTGGAGAAGGTGCAATACCCTATCTTATTCACATGTGACATCTATGTGTTTGTTGTTTGCTTTAATTACCTAAGGCATGTTAGGTTTAGTCGAAGGACCTATGTACCCTTATTTGGTACATGTTCTCACATGTCATTTCGTGTGCTTGTTGTTCGCTTCAATTGCCTAAGGCATGTTAGGTTTAGTCTAGTACCTCTATACCCTAGTTTGGTACATATTCTCATATGCCATTTCATGTGATGTGCGTGTTGAATTATGTAATGCACTACTTCGCTATGTTTTATTTGCACTACGTGAACTCGTTTCACTACCTCCGCAATATTAAACTGAATATTATGACCACAAATAACAATAGAAGTACATGCCGATGAACTAAATAACGCAGAACATGCCCTAAGTATGTCCACACTTAAAGTGCATTACATGACAACACAATGCAAAGTCCAAGACTAGACAACATTGTTCATGAATAAACCATAGAACTAGCAAGCCATGCAGACTACTGAGTGCAACGAGGTCACTTTCCCTTCCTCAGAGCATCGGAATTCTCCTCCATTGCTACCTTCGCTCGGCATGCACGCTAAAGCTTCTTCTCCCTCTCCTCCCTGTACGCAGCAACACGCCTCCTTTCCTTCTCTTCCTTGTGCTCCTTTTCTACAGCCTCCTCTCTGTGTCTCTTCTCCATCATCTCCTTGTCCTCTGCCTCCCACCGCAACAGTTTCTGTATCCACTCCTTGTCTTCCGGCTTGATCTCGGTGTCGATCCACTGCTCAAAATCATAGAGCGGTGGAGGAGTCTGCAACAAATGCAATTGTTACAAAACAAATAAATCATGAAAGACTTCATATGACACAGAATAATTATTACACAACATCAATTTCTCACCATCTTGTTAATGTGGCGCTGACGAAGTGTAGGCTCAAACGCAAAATTAGCACACATCCAGTACCTCTGCCTATATGTGTCCTCTTCATCGGACTTGGCTACCTTACAAGGATCACCGCACCAGCACATGGGCACTGGAACACTATTAGGCAGAGGTAATGGGTTGAAGGCATTTCCGGTCATCCAATCATAACTACAATTCAACTAATTTTGTTCTAAGAACCGAAAGCAAATAACATTAAACCCGAAAGGGTTTCCCATTTGATGCACAACAATGAATGCATAATATCGCAAGAGGCGCTGAGGTTATCTTGGTTTGCTAGCTTTTCCACGCCTTGGCATCCTACGGTTGTATAATACATCCAAATATTAAAAAGTGCATGAAACCCTAAGTAATGATGATTCTTAGGTTGAAAAATACGACTAATATATACCGAATCAATGCGAAAAAAACTAGGAGGGGAGAGAGGATACCTTGTTCTCGAAGATCTATGGATCAAATCCAAGTTTCCATGGTCCAATATGCCGATTCGTGAGGTAGGACGAAGTGGGGAGAGAAAAAACCCGAGAGAGAGGAGGAAGAAAAGGAAGAAGCCTCGGGAAGAAAGGGCGGGTGCTGGTTTAAAACACTACCACGGCGCCATAGATCTTGGTGCCATGCTTGGTGCCAATGACCTTGGCGCCATGGTGGTTGCCATGTCACCGCCACATTTGCGTCGACGCCTACGTCAGCCTAGGACCTTGGCGCCAAAGGTTCTGACGCTGAGACATGTAATCTCGACGCCAATTACAACGGCGCCGAGCTGAGGGTCCAGATTTTGAAAGCATACCTTCAGGGACAGATTTGTGAAAATCTTCCAAAAAAAGGCAAAAAAACAAAAAATTCGGACAGCTCGACCAACTCTCCTTCGGGCCTCAGCCCAACCTCTCCACCTACCTGATGGCCTGTTTCCCGAGACACGCATTGCCTTGGACGACGTCACGTCACCTAGGCCAAGCCCAAGCGCTCGCCGAATGCGTGCCAAAAAAACGAGCATCCACCATGGCCTCACGGCCCTCTCGCCGCGGCGCACGCTGCACGCATCCCTCCTTGCACGCTTGGACGTGCATGCCACGTCATTGTTCTAGTCTTTATACACCTTTTAAATTTTGATTAGGCACATTCCTATTGAGCTTAATGTTGGATCAACAACAAAAGACTATTTATATATCGTTTCTAATTTATAGGAATAGATATTTTGATTAAAAAAATAGCCTCCAAGAGCCTCTTTAAATGAATATCCAAATATAGATATTGTATACTTCGGATTTCTCACTAGTCAAAGGTGGACAATGAGGATGACTCTTTAGAGTGTTCACAAGATATAGAAACATTGCTAGATGATATAATATACTTAAATGACTCTGCAAATGATAATTTAGAGTATATTTTAGAAAGGCTCTTGAAGATGCTAATTAAATTAAATTAAATACAATTTGAACATAAGGATCGCTATCCCCTGTTCCAAGTACATGTACAGTTGTAGTCTATAGCTAGGCTACGTCTAGGGAACGTTAAGAGTGTAGTCTTACAACAGAAACTAATCAAGGTCACAGTAATTCACGGCACCAATCAAGATTGTTGCCATGCTGTAACGAAGCTATATAGTGTGAGTAAAGGGTGCAAATACACCCAAAAAACTGAAAATTGGTTACATTTTTTTTACTAAAATTCCAGTATATAGGCACCCACAAGGCAATTGTATCCTAGTCCATTTTTTTTCTGGCTTCACCACTTTGTCCTGTCATGTTGCCTGAATTGCCGAGTTATTGGTGTCAATGAGATCGAGGGATGGACTGCGAGGCTAGGTGCTCCCATCTCGATCACCATTCACCAGGTCAGTTTCCTCAGCATACCAATTAAGCCTCATCAAACATAAGTTTTCAAATCTTTTTCCTTACTAGTGGAGATGCACGTGCGACACGCACGTGTCTATGAAAAATCTTCCATAACAGAAGAATAACAATCAAATTTCTAAATCTAGTTACTATAACTATAAAATCGTAGTCCTCAACCATAAAGCCTGATTTTTTATAATGCATAGAAGCAGTCTTAAACTCATATCACCATTGGCCTAGTCACAAACTCATAAAAATATTTACAGCATCACTTGTAATGTCATATGGAAAGAATATTATTTTTAATGCATAGCGAAGCATAACGGCAAAATATTAATTTTCTTAATGTGTAGAAGCCGTAACAAACTCAAATCAATATTATTCTAGGCCCAAAGTAATAAACAATTACCATCATCTCTATCTTAATTGAAAATAAAGAATATTGATCTAGGCACACATATATATTCAGGTGAAGGCCAAACCCATCCAATAAACAGACACATAAATATTGTATCTGGCACTTTTGGTAAAGAACTCAATGAACTCGGGTCTGGGTACCTCTCTAGTGCTTCCTTCACAAACCCCTTGTCATCCTTCTTGTCGAACTCCACTTGCACGGTGCTCTTGTCGACAAGTTTCAGGTTCGGCAGCTGCATGAACTGTATGCTCTTGACCTGCCTAATGTTACCTTGTACTTGAAGACGTACTCCTGCACAAGCGGGATCACCATGAGCTACATGAACATTCAGTTAAATACAGAGCAGGCAGCATATTGGAGTCAAGGAGTAAAATCAAATATACATTTACTGAACTGGAGTAAAATATAACAGAGCTACAGATCAGTTATTTATATGTAGATGGATACAAAATATGCATGCAGTGCTATTGATTAGAACATTAATGGATAGAGGCTCTTTGGATAGGGAAAACAAATTCAATGAGCAGGTTTGAGTATCAACTGCACGTGCGGCACTCACGTGTATCATAAAACTTTATTCACAATAGAAGAATTATATACGCACACTTAATAAATTATGTTCCATGGTAAAATGAATTTCAACCAAATAGCCAGTAAACATAATTAAGAACAAACTTTGGTAAGGAAGTTTAAAGAGGCATAAAAACTTAATTGATATTTGTACATACAATTTAACAATTAAGCAAGTGCATCAATTCCTGCCCTCAAGAGCGGGCCAAATTAACTGTTTAGGTATACCATATCTCTTGGTCAAGCGTGAATATTAGAATTTTCAGCTAGATAAAAACTCTTTTTATTCAACAAACATATCATTTGTTCTTAAACCCTTGACATTTTGAATTCATTTCCTCTAGGTCAAGCTTATTTTAAATTAACTGTTTAAGCATCCCATATCTCTTAGTCAAGTGTGAATATTAGAGTTTTCGGCTGGATAAAAACTCTTTTATTCAACAAACAGATCATTGGTTCTTAAACCTTGACATTTTGAATTCATTTCCTATAGGTCAAGCTTATTTTAAAGAAGGCAATATTGCTACTTGGACTTGTTATTATGGTCAAGTGTGAATATTAGAGCTCTCAGCTGAATAAAAACTCATTTTGTTCAACAAACAAACCATTGGTTCTTAAACCCTTAATATTTTAAACAGTATTTCCATGAGGACTTCTAAAATTTGTAAATCGGTAAATGACATCTGGACTGTGTAAATTAGATGGCAATGTATTTATGAGGCTATAATCGAGCATGTTTCGAGGATCCTCCTTATATCTGATTGCACTAAACCCACAGTGAGTTATAAATTGAAATATAAGTACCATTAACATGCAAAGTAAGGACCTCTGTAAGGGAATAACCCCTATGATTTTTCTTCTTTGCAGCACACTTCATATCAAATTGTCTCAGCAATAAATCTGATATTCCATATATCTTTTCCAGGACTTCGTTTCCATGATGGACACACTTCTGCCTCAAGCTGGCCCATGGCATCGCAACCTCTTCCAGAGAATTTAACAGCCATCTAAACAGCGCATCCTCCTCGCAAGAACCATCCTTTTTTCTTGATGAAGCAACATTCTCAGCGTCCAAAGATAATAAGCTCCCATCTTGAACCAGAGATATGATATCAGAACGACCTCCCTCGTTCTTCCCTTCATCACCCAAAATCCTCACGAATTCCCAGCCTCTGGATAAATGATTATAAAGCTGGTCCAATGGTTTATCGAGTCTCTGAATTTCCATGGAGTCCAATGAGGTGACACAGGAAGGAATGCAATATGGCAATGGTTTCTTGGACCTCCTCCTCGCAAAGTTGATGACCTTGTCCACAAGGCCAACAGGGAGAGCCTTAAATGTATTGAGACAAGAAAAGACATCCTTGATCCTGTCCAAGTTCCTTCTTCGCTCTGCGTCTTCTTATCCCATCTCAAATGGCGTCCACTTCAAGGAAGACTCAAGCTCTTCGGAATCCAAGGCTGCTCTTTTGGACATCAATGGCTGCAGTTCTTGCAGTTCATCGATGTACTCGCCCTCGACGTGTGACACGAACGAGTTTGCGTCCAAGAAAACCATGTCGCGCACAGGGCACAGCCAGTACGCCCATGCCTTTGTGGCCTTGGCAAACTCAACCGCGCAGGTGAGCAGATGCACGCTGCCGCCGCCCGTTTGGTGGCAGTAGGACCACAAGTCGTCGAGGTCCACCGAGAGAAAGCCGCGCAGGTCGTCGTCGTTCACCGCCTTCCGCGTGGTGGCGTGGCGGCAACAGCACGGTGGCTTCGTCGTTGGCGCCGCCGCCACGCCCGTGGTGTCGCGGCGCACCCCCGCGGCTTCGAGTGCCTCCGCGTCGGCGCGGACCCCGAGGAGCCGCTCCCGCGCCGCCGCGACGCGTGCCTGGGGGCTCGTTGTTGCCACGAGGGCGCGGCGCGGCGGGAGGCGGCGTCGGCGGTGGCGTGCAGGGCCGGGCCGGCGCGCGTAGAGGAGCGCGGATGCGATCCCGGGGCACCACAGGGCGAGCTCGGCGGCGCGGTGGGACCGCGTCGCCCGTGAGCGCGATCGAGGCGCGCGCGTAGCCCAGGATGTGGTGCGCCAGGGGCGACGCCGGGTGGCGCTCCGCGAGGCGGGCCGCCGCCGCCGCCGCGGCGCAGCCGTCGTCGTGGGACCGGGCGCGGATCGCGGACTCGGCCTCCTTCCGGAAGGCGACGGCGGCGTCCTCCCAGTCCGCGTTGGTCGGCGGCGGCGCCGCACACCCCGCGGGGCGGGGCGGCTTCCTGCTCACGCCGCCCTTCTTGCTCTTGCGGGCCATAGGAGTGTCCGGGTGGTGTGGGGGACAATGGCAATGCAAGCGGCGGCATAGATCACCACGCGTGACGGCGGTGAGAAGCAGCGGAGCGGAGTCACGACTCGAGGAGGGGACCGCAATTGTGGGACCCACTTGTCAGCGTTACATGACTTTTGGTCCCGGTCTTGTAGAGGCAAGTAACCGTATATAACCGTATACGATCCATCTCACATACGTGCCGTCATGCTGAACCCCATTTATCTTTTTTTTTAGCTAACCTAGCTTTTTCCTCAGCTTATAGTTTTCCTAAACAATTCATAATGCCCGTTCTACGTTACGCAATTCATGTAAGCGAATTGATGGTAGTGCATGATGAATCAGAGTATTTTAGACTCTAGAACATTGTACACACCCACATGCATATGGTATGATTGTACTCAAGTTAAATCAGGAAACTTTCGTTTACCTTAAAAACATATACCATGCGATGCAATTGTATGCACGAGCATAACATTACACACGACAAAAAGACATTGAAATCGCCTCCAGGAGCAGATTCACCGGTGTGGCGAACCATGGCGGCCGCCTGCCGATGAGCACCCCGTCATCTCGAGCAGCGACGATTGTCGTTTGGTAGGGATACAGATTTCTGTAGAGATATTTTGATCTGAATTTTCTTAAAAACGTTTTAGATGATGAGTTAGAATCACTTTATGAGATCGTTTGACTGGTAAACTGATTATAATTTTTAAAATATTTTTCTATAAAAATCGTATAAGTAAGTAAAAAATTATGAAAATTCAGGAATTTTTTGTGGGTATAGATCAACTTAAATACAACATATTTTAACTTATTATACTTAAAATGAAAATGATTAACTAGAAAAAAAAATACATAGCAGAAGCACAAAATGGGCTAGCACAAGATGACAAGAGTTATGTGAAACCACCCTGATTCTATTTTGGTCCTTTGCGAAGGAAATCTTAGAGTCGCTAAAAATATTTTAGCTCCAATCACTAAGCTATGGTGCCGTTTGACTTTTGAAAGCGTTTCTGGTGATTCTCAAATCTCAATAGAGAAGGATACGTTTCTATCATGCGTGAACATGTCCGCCAGCAGCCCAGCACCAGTGGCCACTCCCGAGCACCTCGAATCGGTCCCAAAGGCTACGCGCGTGCGTTCGCGTTTTTCGCCGCCTCACAAGCCGGGGATCGGTTCAAGAGGACGGGCGTCAGTGTCACCTGGGCCACAGCCCAGAGCCCACAAGCCTCTCTCCTCTCTCCTTCCCTCCCTCTCACTGGCACTGCATCCTACCCTCGCCGTCCCTCTTCCTCACTGACACACGGCATCCTTTTCATCCCTTCTGCTTCTTACCTCTTCAGCACCGACACGGCATCCCTTCACTCCTCTGCTTCTTCCCGCTTCCTCGTAGACACTCCATTCCTCCCCCGCGCCGCCCCGCCCCCCCCATATATTGACTCCCAAGCAGCTTCGACCACGGACCGCATCCTTTGCCCGGGGCACGGAGAAGACAGCGGAAGCGACTTCCACCTCCGGCGAGTGTGTCACAACAGCAGCGCCAGGAGGGCGAAGACGGCCGCAAGCCACCGATCGACCTCTACAAGTATCCACTCTCCAGAACATGGCGGCTTCTCTCCCGGTCGTGCCTGCGTTAGTGGGCCTAGGAACAGCGATAGTGGGAGGGGGAGTGGCTCTACTAAAGCCTGCAGTGGATCTAATAGAGGATGCAGTTCTAAAGCCTACAGTGGATCTAATAAGGGGTGCAGGTGAGATTATAGGAGATGTTACAGACAAAACAGGTGAGCAAAAAAGACATCATTTTTTTCACTATCCAAAACAGTGTGGTCTTATTCTCATCTCTCTCCTCTAACCCCCGTCTAAAATAATGAATTTTAGTTGAATGGTTCACCAATTCCCGGTTGAAGAGCGAGTTGGAGGAACTCCAAAGGCAACTGGATAAGTGTCGGGAGGAGCGTAGGGTGACAAAGGATGAACTGGAGGAATGCAAGAAGGAAGGCTCTAAAAAATCTTTGGAATTGTTTGAGTGTAAGTTGGAAAAGGAGCAGCTTAAGGCAAAAAAGGATGAACTCGAAAAGGCAATTGAAGGAGTGTAAGGAGGAAAACGATGAACTCCAAAAGCAATTGGAGGAGTGTAAGGAGGAAAAAGTTAAACACAAATTGGAATTGGCGAAGTGCAAGTTGGAAAAGGAGCAGCTTAAGGAAGAAAAGGATGAACTCGAAAGGCAATTGGAGGAGTGTAAGGAGGAAAAAGTTAAACACAAATTGGAATTGGCGAAGTGCAAGTTGGAAAAGGAGCAGCTTAAGGAAGAAAAGGATGAACTCGAAAGGCAACTGGAGGGCACAAGGAAGGCGGCTCTTGTGTTCATGGACGCTGCCGATAGGTACCAAGAAGACGCAGAGAAGCTAGTTAAGGCAAAGGTTGAGGAATTGGAGAACACGAGAAAGGCGGCTGGGGCGTTCATGGACGCTGCTGATAGGTATGAAGAAGCAGCAAGGAAACAAATTAAGGCAAAGGAGGAGGAATTAGAGGACACAAGGAAGGCAGCTCTATTGTTCATGGACGCTGCCGATACGTACCAAGAAGCAACAGAAAAGAAATTTAAGGAAAAGGAGGAAGAATTGGAGCACACAAGGAAGGCAGCTCTATTGTTCATGGACGCTGCCGATACGTACCAAGAAGCAACAGAAAAGAAATGTAAGGAAAAGGAGGAAGAATTGGAGCACACAAGGAAGGCAGCTCTACTGTTCATGGACGCTGCCGATACGTACCAAGAAGCAACAGAAAAGAAATTTAAGGAAAAGAAGGAAGAATTGGAGCACACAAGAAAAGCGGCTCTGGTGTCCATGGATGCGGCAGATAGGCACCAAGAAGCAACAAAGAAGATGTAGATGAACGCAATGCCAACAAAAAAAAAAATACATGTATATATAAAAGAAAGAAATAATACTTATGTCAAAACAGATCGCATGTGAAGGCAATTGTTTAACTCATACAAAGAATTACAGTAACCTTCATTTTCTAAATATATTAAGTACCAAATAAGGGAATGGAAGAAGTAATTTCAGCACTGTATCATAACAGATGGCGCCAAAACAAAAATGAATAGCGACCAGCAAAACAGGCAGACAGCAATCGAATACGGCACGGCAGAAGGGGGAAAAAAATCACAGCCCCCAATCGGAAATCTCCCTGCGCCGATGAGTCCGGCAACCAGGGAGACACGTACGGCGGCGGCGGCGAGGATAGAAACGAAACGAAAGGCTCCGTCAGGCAATGGCTTGACATGACGTGCTGGGTCCATCCCATTCCAACCAATCGTAACGGCGATATGGGCCTGTGCGTGGGCCTGCCGCGGAGGAATGCGCTGTCAGGCGGCTGGCGGGCGACGCTGGGCCGCGGCTTCGGCGTGGGTGCTGCTGGGCCTCGGGCTTCTGAGCTTTTTATGGTTTTTTTTTTCAGTTTGCACGCTGCGAAAATGGATGCTCTTAAAAATAGAAAACACGGGTACAAAATGGATGTCCATATCCTGCTGGACATGGTTGTCCACCACAGAAGAATTTTGTGTTTTGCACGTACAAAATAGCTGGTGATCTTTTCCACCTTTAAATTGTTTAGCATGACAAAAATAGATTCTATTAAAAACATGTTTTTTTAAAACTAATTTAAGAGTTGCCACAATTTTTTAGAATAAGACCATGTTGCCTCTTCGTTACGTATTGGAGGACTATTTCATATTTTATACAATCAAGTATCCCTGCAATTAGGGATGAAACCGGATCGGATACAAACGGATATCATTGGTTCTGCATTCTATCCCATATCCCATATTTTGTCCCATATTTTTTTCTCGGATATTAGAACCGGATACGGATATGTCAGATATGGATATCTATTTCATATACATATCAGAAATCCAATTTTGAGTATTCGGATTCAGATACTGTCGGATATTAAATTTTTGGATTCAGATACGGACTATCCATATAGGATTTTAACACTTTCAGGACGGACGGATATCGAGAAATATGCGTCCGGTTTTCATCCCTACCTGCAATGTTTTGAAAAGAAAATCTCAACAACGTTGGGCCTCACAACTTTGCGTTCACGTTGGGCCTATAATAAAGCTACCTATCTATTATATTGTTTTCCTTGCCACCTAGCATTGCATGCCATTTGGTTTTGAACAAAAAAGTAAATATAGTAGTGTAGGTTTACTTTTTTTTTTAAAAAAGGTGATGTCCATCTCCAAATTCACACCATGTGGTACATGCAATGCTACAATTAGTTATCGTAAAACAACTTTCTCTTACCTTGAGCGAATTGCATTTGCATCTTGTAGCTCGTTTGTTCTTGACGAACAGCGTAAAAGGCCAATTCAATGTCAACGTGAAGCTAAGATAGCTAGCTCAGTATATCAAAGCTAACCTTAAGTCAGCATGTTCGTTTGTTAGTTTTAGCTAGGGCTTATCAGCCATGGTACAGTGTTTTTTTCTAAAAAAAAACAGCACCAACCAGACTTATCAACCCAGAAATCAACCAGCGAACAGGCTGACTATAGTCAGAGCTTCGCACAATAACCACTGCTAATTCGTGGAAGAATTTTGCCGCACCGTGCCATAGCACGAGCTCCTAGCCCTCCTCCATATATAGAATAGGTTGTTCCGTCAGTCTTTCTTTGACCCTATGCTGCATTCTCAGAAACACTTGTGTCTTTTCTATGTTGGTATGAATTTGTTGGTGCAGAATGTGACCAACTAGTAAATATTTATAGTTTTGTTGTACGTTGTGATCGGAGGTGGCCTAGCACTCAAAGACACAGGGTTTATACTGGTTCAGGCAACGTGCCCTACGTCCAGTTTAGGTCGGTCGGTGACTTTATTCCTGAGTCCAGGTGCTCGAAGTCTGCAGTGGGGTTACAAATGAGAGGGAGAAAGATGGGATGTACAAGAGGTCTGGTCGGCTCTGGTCGAAAGGGCCAAGACAGACAGGAGCTACGCTATGAGCTATGAGTTAAGTGTTCAAGCGTGTGCTTGGGGAGAACTTGAATGCTGAATCGGCTTGGAGAGAACTTATCTCGAACTCCCTCACGTTGGAGGGAGCGTATCCCCTTTTATAGATGAAGGAGGTGGCTTTACAGGTGAGAGGGAGAGAGTATGTTTGCTCCTGCGCCTTGTCGCCCACGCCAGTGGGTACGAGACGATTGTAGGCGCCTGCAACACTGTTTATGTTATTGTAGAGTGTCAGATGCATGTGGGAGGTTGCGTTATCTTCTTCGGGTATGGCAGACGTCGGCACCTGTAAAAACTGTTGATGTCTAGAGGCATGTGAGGAGCTTCATCACATTCTCCTGGTATGGTAAATCCCGGCACCCACAACACTGGTGATGCCCAGAGGCACGTGGGGGGTTTTACCGTATGGGAGATCAACGGCGCCCACAATACTGTAGAGGGAAATGTCGGCGCCTACAATACTGTTTGTGTAAGGACAGTTGCAGAGTACTGTTCCTGCAGGCGTGCAGGGTGTGGTCCCTAGTATCGTGGTTTGACTTGTGCGCCTTGTCTTGCTTTCTCCATTCGTCCCCTGGTTCCCTCCGAGTGGGCATCCCCGGTCGGATGGCTGCAGTCGGCTCTGGTCGTGCCGTTCGGAGAAGAGCGGTGAGCAGGGTTCCTACGACCCTCGGTTGGAGACGTGATGTCAGAGTCGGAGGCAGCGTTTGGACCAGGCCTTCCGACCGGAGAGGCCGTCCGGGGGCGGCTGGAGTCCGAAGCCAGCGCTCCGGTCGGAGAGGCGAGCCGAGGTAGTTGACGAGTGGGTGCTGCTCTCCTTCGGCCAGTGCTTCCGATCGGTGATTGGACCACCCTTTTGGCCTGATGTTTTAGACTCTTGGGCCAGCCCATGAGTTGTGTGCTGCCTGTTTGGGCCAAGCCTTGGCGTGGAAGCCGGTCCCCGAGGGACCTCGGGTTTATGAACCCGACAGGAGCCCCCGAGCCCCCGGGCGATTCGGGCAGAATTGTTCGGCGGATTTTTGCTTTGCCGGCGGGTGCGCGCGAGCGCACCCACGGGTGTAGCCCCCAAACCCCCAGGCAGTTCGGGCAGAACCATCTGGGGGATGCTCGTCAGCGGGCGTGTGTGCTCGTTTTTAGTTTTGAGACGGTGTTTTTTTAACCAAGGCGTTGTTGTGCAGCCAAGGCGTTTTAGTCATTTTTTAGATATTTGAGAGGGAGCTCGCGGATCCTGGCGTTGGTGCGCGCCGTGGGATCGGGTGAGGTAGTTAGTTTGGTCGAGACAGAGCTCATTGATCCTAGCGTCGATGCGCGCTGCGGGATCGGGTGAGGTCAGGCGTTTTGGACCGCGACCGAAAGCGTAGCCAGATGGGGCGAGATCGGGGTCACAAACCCAGGTGTCTTTGGAGCGCGGTCGGAAGCGTAGCCGGATGGGGCGAGATCGGGGTCGCACACCCAGGTGTCTTTGGAGTGCGGTCGGAAGCATAGCCGGATGGGGAGAGATCAGGGTCGCAGACCTAGGCATTTAGAGCGCGGTCGGAAGCGTGGCCGGATGGGGCAAGATCGGGGTCACAGACCCAGGTCTCTTTGGAGCGCGGTCGGAAGCGTAGCTGGATGGGGCGAGATCGGGGTCACAAACCCAGGTGTCTTTGGAGCGTGGTTGGAAGCGTAGCCGGACAGGGAGAGATCGAGGTCGTAGACCCAGGTGTCTTTGGAGCGCCGTCGGAAGCGTAGCTGGATGGGGCAAGATCGGGGTCACAGACCCAGGCATTTGTCTTGAGCCCCCGGGCCCTGTCAGGCCTTCGTAGGGGTCGGTGTGAGTTTGTGTGCGTTACCCCATCCTCGGTTCCTCACAACCGGAGGGGCTGAGTTTTGTCGCTTGTCCCGATTGCTCGGGCTCGAGTGACGCGCTCGGTGAGTTCGCTAACGGGTGTGATCGAGTGGAATCCAGGTCCGTCGTTCGTGATGGGATCGGCATAGCCCTCTTGTGACATTCCACTACTCCTTTACCTGCAACCCGGTAGATGCCTAGGTCATTCCGGAGACCAACCCGGGTGGCCTAACGGCCTCCCCTTGATGGAGATTCTGTGGGCTTGGCGAGAGGTTCAGGATCGAATGAGGAGGTTGAGATGACCCAGTCTGCCAGACCGGGCGAGGGCCACCCGGGGCTCATCTATGTTTTTCTCCCCTAGCTCTGTTGGTTGCTCATGTCAAATGAGGCAACCACCGCTTCGTGACGCAACACGGAGCGTTGTGATGCATTTCGCTGCACGTGCGATGCTTAGTTCCCGAGCCCCCAGGTGGTTCAGGGCCTGAATCATCCGAGAGGCACGGGCATATGGAATGGATGCGCGTATGGATGTATGAATGAGTTATATATAAGAAAAAAATAGAGGGGGTTGGTAGTGTTACCTCGATGTCCCAAGTTACGGGGTTCGGAGAGCTCTAGTCGGAAATGTCCGACCAGGACCCGTGCTCGTCATTCGAGACAGAGTTGGCATGGCCTACATGAGGCGTCCCTTTGCTCCTTACCTGTCGCTCGGTGTCTATCCTGGGCGATCCGATCAACTTAGGGGGCCCAATGGTCTCTCCCGGTGAAGATCTTGGTTTGGGGGTTTTCCTAGGTCTGGCCTGGGGAAGCGGGGAGCCGCCCACGTGCGGTGGCGCTTTGGTTCTTGCGCCCGACGTGCTGTAGTGGTTGGTTGTGCGGTAGTGGTGGGCCATGCCTCAGGCCACGTCCTGTCTGATCAGGAGCCGTTCCATCGGGCAGGGCACGTCTCATCAGTCAGGGTGCGTCTCATCTGCATTAGATGGGAAAGAGAGAGAATTTCTCGCTCCGCCGTTTTGCCTTCTCTGATCGGCGCGCCTTTCCCAACCGCTAATCT